AGATTCTGGAAAAGAAAAGAGTGGCATAGAAGGGGAGTCTACTGGGGACAAAACCTGGAAGTTTGATAAACGAAAGGTTCGGTGCCATAACTGTCAGAAGCTGGGTCACTTTGCCCGTGAATGTTGGCACAAAGAAGGTGCGAAAACCAAGCCCAAGAATCAAGCCAATCTTGCACAAGATGAAGGATCTGATTCTGAAGCAGTAATGTTGATGGCCTAGGTGTCTTCAGATATGAAAGAAGAAGCTGCTTGGTACTTAGACTCAGGCTGTTCAACTCATATGACTGGGAGAAAAGATTGGTTTGTAAAAATAAAAGAAGCTGTTCATGGGAAGATACGGTTTGCTGACAACAGTAGCTTAACAGCACAAGGAACTGGAAGAGTGGTTCTGAGAAATGACGAAGGAAGAGAAGTCGTTGTTGAAGACGTGCTATATGTTCCAGGCCTGAAGACAAATCTGCTCAGTCTAGGTCAACTTCTGGAGAAGGGATTTATTATGACAATGAAGGATAATTGCATGAGTGTGTTTAATCAATCAAATAAACTCATCATTCAGACTATTTTGTCACGGAATAGAACGTTTAGAGTGGGAATGAATGCTTTGAAGCATCACTCGCTTCATTGCTGCAGAAAGTAGAGCAGAATGGATATGGCATCATAGATATGGACACCTGAATTTCGGAGACTTGTGTCAACTTGAGCAAAAGAAAATGGTGGTAGGCTTACCTCGTATAAAAGCTCCTGATGAAGTTTGCAAGGAGTGTATTCGAGTGTAAACAAACCGGAAACAGCTTCAAGCAAATTCATATCCCGGAAGACGAGTGGAGAAGTTGGGACCGGTGCACACCGATATTTGCGGGCCAATTCAAGTTGAAACCCCTGGAGGTAGCAGATATTTTCTAACTTTTACAGATGATTTGACCGGAAAAATGTGGACATTTTTGCTCAATAGGAAGAATGAAGCACTTGGAAACATTTAAGAAGTTTAAGTGTCTTGTTGAAAGGCAAAGTGGGTTGCGGTTAAAGATACTCCGAAGTGATGGTGGTGGAGAATATACCTCACAAGAGTTTCGTGAGTTTTGTGAGAATACTTGGAATTGTTCAGGAAGTCACACCCCCTATACACCTCAAGCATAATGGCATTGCTGAGAGGAGAAACGAACACTCGCTTAACATGGTTAGGTGCATGCTGAAAAGTAAAAATCTACCAAGTTACTTGTGGGGTGAGGCAGTTATGACTGCCACTTATGTTTTGAATAGAGCTCCAACTAAAAGGTCAGATGGAGTAACCCCTGAGGAGGCATGGAGTGGGATGAAACCAAATGTTGCTCACTTGAAGATATTTGGTTTTGTATGTTACAAGCATTGTCCTGATCAGTTGAGAAGAAAGTTGGATGATAAAGGTGTGCCACTAATCTTGATTGGTTATAACTCAACAGGAGGGTATAAACTGCTGGATCTTGAGAATAACAAAGTCTCGTACGATAGAGACGTAATTGTTGATGAAAACTCAAGTTGGAACTGGGGTCGACATCAAACGAGACATCTCGGACCAGAATTATGTTGGATGTGGATTCTTCGACAGGTGAACTAAGTGTTGAAAATCGAGTATCAATGAGAAGAGATGACAATCAGTACGATGAGAAGATCAACAAGAGCAGTGCAGAGACCAATACACCTGCAAGATTATGAAGTATTTTCAGATTCTACTGTAACTACTGAAGGCAATTTAATTCATTTTGCTTTGATAGCTGAAGCTGAGCCACTCACATTCGAAGATGCAGTAGTTGATGAGAATTGGTGGAAGGCAATGAAGGAGGAGATTGCCTCTATTGAGAAGAATCAAACATGGGAATTAGTTGATGCTCCTAATGACAAAAGACCCATTGCTTTGAAATGGGTTTATAAAGTCAAAGTAAATCCACAAGGGGAAGTGGTGCGGTACAAAGCCAGAATTGTGGCTAAGGGTTTTCTACAGCAAGCTGGAGTAGATTATGGTGAAGTATTTGCACCAGTAGCCAGGATTGAGACAGTTCGAATGGTGGTATCAGTTACAGTTCAAGCTGGCTAGGTTCTGCATCAATTGGATGTTAAATCAGCATTTCTAAATGGTCCTCTGGAAGAAGAAGTGTTTGTGGTACAGCCACAAGGTTTCGAAATTAAAGGTCAGGAGCATAAGGTGTATAAGCTTAACAAAGCTTTGTATGGATTGAAGCAAGCTCCTAGAGCTTGGAATCAAAGAATAGATAAGTTTTTGAAGCAAATTGGGTTTGACAGATGCATATCTGAACATGGTCTGTATGTGAAGTGCTGGAATGGAGACATAAGAAGTGAGAAGTTGATAATATGTCTATATGTGGATGATCTTCTGGTAACTGGAAGTAGTGCAGATCAGATAAAAGTATTTAAATCTCAAATGTTTAACGAATTTGATATGAGTGACTTAGGTAAACTCAATTATTTTCTCGGAATTGAGTTCACCAATACAAAACATGGATTGATAATGCATCAAACAAAGTACACACAAGATGTTTTGAAAAGATTTCGGATGATGGAAAGTAACACTACAGTAACACCAGCAGAGACAGGACAGAAGCTTACACTTGGTAATGATGAAGAGCGTGTAGATGCTACTAACTACTGCAAGATTGTAGGGAGTTTGAGGTACCTCTGCAATTCCATACCTGATTTAAGCTATAGTGTTGGCTTGATCAGTAGATATATGCAAGATCCAAGGGAGTCTCACATGTATGCAGCTAAGAAAATTCTGAGGTATCTTCGTGGTACAGTGGGTTGCGGAATCCTATTTCCAAAACCTGAAACAGTAACTACAACAGTGGAATTGATGGGATATTCAGACTCAGATTGGTGTGGTGATAAAGGAGATAGGAAAAGCATTGCAGGTTATGTTTTCTTCTTAGGAGGAGCTCCAATCTCGTGGAACTCAACTAAGGAATCTGTAGTGGCTTTGTCCTCATGTGAAGCAGAATACATTTCTGCATCAGAAGCTTCGTGTCAGGCAGTTTGGTTGAAAGCAGTTTTGCAAGAATTGAAAGTGGAGCTGTCATGTAAAGTGAAGCTTTTAGTAGATAATAAATCTGCTATAGATTTAGCCAAACATCCAGCTTCACATGGGCGGAGTAAACATATCGAGACACGTTTTCATTACATTCGTGATCAAGTGTGCAATGGAAAACTCGTTATTGAATATTGCAAGTTAGAAATTCAACTTGCAGATCTTTTTACTAAAGCTTTTAAAGCTGAGAGATTCATTTGGTTGAGAGATGCTGTTGGAGTTGTTAATATAAATACAACTTTGACTTAAGGAGGCATGTTGGGTATTAAGTAAAAATTTTGTTTTTCTGTTATGCTTTACCCGCTGTTGTCTATATAAATAGCAACCCTTTACAATAAATATACAGTTTCATTTTTACGTAATATTTTTCTTACGTTGTATGCATGCTCTCTGATCTAATACTAAGAAAGTTTAAAATGTTAAAAGTAAAAAAAAAAAAACTAACATTCTTAAAAACATTTTATTTATAAGGGTGTTTACAAAGAAATTGAAATATTAAAGAGTTTTGCTGTAGATTAAAAAAAAAAAAAAACACCCAGGAATGCAATATTAATAAATCTAAGGTTACTATCTATTTTACGTAAACATAGTCTTGATATTAATTAGTATATGATATATATATATATATATATATATATATATATATATATATATATATAATAAAATAATATTTTTCTAAAATTGAATTGATTATTAAATGAGTCCACCTATTCAAAGTTTAAAGAATTTAAGATTTAAAGATTTATCAAATTAAATTTTATTAAAATAATATTTTTATAATATAATAAATATATTAATAATAATATTTTAATAATAAAAATTAAAATATAATAAAATAACTATTAATTTGAGATAAAAATATTATATATTTTATAAATAAATTATCTTTTAAAAAAATTTGATATTTTTTTTATCAAAATAAGTTTAACTCAGTTATTTTTCTCGATTGTTTTAAATTTGTATCAAAATTTTTAATATTATATTAATTCAATTAAAATCTAATTATTTAAAAATAATATATTTTCATAATATAATTTTAATAATAATCATAAAAAACTATTGCATAAATCTTTATAAAAAAATAATTATCCTACCTAAAATAAGTATCTCCTTTAAATAAAAACAATAAAATAAATAATTTTAATTTAAAAATTAGGCATATAAATATTTTAAAATTGAATTAAAACCGTTAATTTTAGTCAACAAATTTTAATTAAAAATTTATCAGAAAACTAAAAAAAGAAGTTACTGTCACTCCAAAAATCTCCTTAATAGTATTTTAAAAAGCTACAAAGAAAAAACAACTTAACAAAAGACATTAGTAATAATTTCAAGTAATTGGTAACTACAATGATAAATAAAATTAGACTAGAAAAGTGATATCTTCAAGCCAATTGAATTAAAAAATTAGAAAAAAGATTTTTTTTGTTGAAAGAAAAAGCAAAAAGATAATAAGAGTGGAATTAATGATTTGTGATGGGTGGAATTGTAGAAAGTGAACGGTACAAAAGAGATAATGGGGTGACCCTATTTGTCTGTTCACATTAAAGAAGGAGAAGAAGGATGAAAGAAGATTTGGAGAAGGAAGTATTTTTTATTTGTTCCCTGAAAGACAGATAAGAAGAAGAGAGAGAGAGAAGAAGTTGTTGGGTTGGGTTGGGTTGGATTGGGTTTTCCAATCTAATCTTCTTTTTTTTTATGCTTTTAAGGCACGATTCCTTTTCCTTACCCTCTTCTTCTCTCTTCTCTTCCTGAACCCTTATTATTCCTTTCCTTTGCCCTTCACCTTCTACCCAGGGAAGGAAAGGAAAAAGGAACAAATAATTATATTATTATAATTTAAATTATTATTGTAATTATTCGTATAAATATTATTAGTTTATTATTAAATTATAATTATTACTATCGTTAGTATTCCTCATCCATGGATTCGTCGTGTCTCTCCAACGATTCAGTTTCTGGATTCAAAGACAGGGAGTCAATGGTTGACCCCTTTTTGGTCGAGGCTCTCCAGAACCCTCGTCACCGCCTCACCAGTTAGTTTCTTCTTAATTATCTTCGTCTCTCTTTCTGTTAATTGTTCTTTTGGGGTTTTTGTTCTGTGGGATTGTTTCTTCTTATGGGTGTGCCTCAAAATTTTTGCTTTAGCTCGATTTCCCCTAGACTTATATATATGTAGTTGAATGTTTTCATTTAAGGGTTTTGTTTATAGGTGCTTTATATAAGTCTTTGTTTTTTTTTTTTTTTTTCTGGTTATGTTTAGGATAATTGACGTCAGATCCGGGATGGCCGTGGTTATTCCCTGAATCATTGTGATAATTGAGATTGAGAATTTGATTTTGATGTGTGGGCGAGGTTACCCTGGTAGTCATTTGGGGGCTTTATTCAAAATTACGTTAACGGGAAAGTTGGTATGATCGTAGGTTGTGTAGATATGTATGCTTCTACTGAATAAAATTTTAACTTGGGATGAAATAGTGAAGCACCGTAATTTCCAGAGTTCATAATTTGTATTGCTGTGTAGCATTTTTATGCGTTTTAGTTCTTACCCTTTAGATGGAATGAAGTTGTTGAGCTATTGCTTGCTTTGATCGAAATTTCATGTGTCACAAGTTTAAAGTAGTAGTCCTTCAGAGGTGGTTGGCAGTTGCATCAGAAATTGTCTAGCAATTGCATGAGTTATTCTTTGATGATTATGTTTGCTGTAATTTCCCGTTGCTAGTGTTTTTTCTGATCGTTTTTTTTTTTTTCAAATTTTTCTTTGTTGTTGTAAATCTTGATATTTTATTTTATTATTTTGTACTTTGTTTTTGTCCTTAGTTTTGCGGATGGAGCTTGACATTCAGAGGTTTATGAATAATGCTGATCAACAGCATTTTGAGTTTCCACATTTCCCTTCTTCCTATCTCAGACTGGCTGCACATCGTGTTGCTCAACACTACAGCATGCAAACAATGGTTCAAGATAATGGCTTAGATGGTCAGGGAAGTAAAATTCTGGTGAGAAAGTTACCAGAAAGCAAGTATCCTGTGGTTAGGTTATCTGAAATACCTGCAAAGCAATTGGAAAATGATAAATCTGAGCAGAAAAAATTTGTTATTAGAACTAGGCCTAATAAGAACAGTTTGAACGACGCCAATGGAGTTGGGATGAAAGGAAATCCTCTAAGAAGCGTGGAAGAGAGGAAGGAAGAATATGACCGAGCACGAGCACGTATCTTTAGTGGCTCTAGAATCTCTGACTCAGGTGATACCTCATCCATGGTTCCAATGGATGGGAGAAATTCTTCTACTAGCAAGGATGAGAATGAAACTAGCAAGAACCCCATAGTTGATTCAGAAAGATGTATCAATGTCCGGGACAGTTGTTCAAATCGAGTTGCCATATTCAGGGATAGAGAAAAGGATCGTAGTGATCCAGATTATGACCGTAGTTACGGAAGGTGAGTCATTTCATTGTACCCTGTTAACATTGAGAGGTATCCAGCTATTGAATGACACATTTGCAAATGGATGTTAATATTGTCATTTCTCTGCACTATATCTAGAAATGTGAGTTGTATTAGCATTTTAAAATAAATGATTGAAGTTATCTGTTTGTCAGAGAGACACTGATTGGGGGGGGGGGGGAAGGGTGAAGAGTGAAGACTAAATAATGACAATTTTGTTATTTGGCTGGCACATTTGATGACACTCTTGTTATGTAATGGTTAGAGATGCCTTTTGTTTTTCAAATGTTTTGGTTATTTGGCCGTTGAGGTATCTGTACTGATTTAATATTTAGTATACCTTTATCTGATTGAATTACGTTATTGGTGCAGATATGCTAGGAGTATTCCAACCTCTGCTGTTACCTTGGTGCCATTTAACTTGCAAAAGGCTCAACCTTCATTTGCTCAATATGATGCTACATTTAATCAATTGGGTCAAATGTCACAACCTCAGGCCACACTTGGATATATCCCTCCTTCTACCCCGATAATAAATCCTTTTTGCACTACAGGAGTGAATCAGACACCTAGGGACGGTGCTTACCTACAGTGGCCTAGTGCAGCTATGATGTATGCACATTCATATGACCAATTTAGACATGCTGTTTTCCAGGTAAATAGCATTTAATTTGCCTAGTTTTATTGCCTATTGAATTCGATGAGTGATTTCTGTATTAGTTTAAAAATTACCAGGACATGTTCACAATAAGTGTAATAAATAAATTAATTAATGTTGTAGGTTTTGTTGGTTGATGCTCTTAACTCCTTAAAATGGTTTTTAGAAATTACTGTTTTTGTTATAAAAGTGTGTATTTTTAATTCTTGTGACAAAATGCATATAGATTTGAATTGTTATACCATTTTTATTCTCAAATAGGGGGGAGTAGCTTTATAAAAAAATACGGTGATTTTCCTAATATGTAATATCATGATTCATGATTGTTGTAGTTTGTTTGAGTTCTACTCTTCTGACAAGGATCAAATAATTTTTTTCTTTTTTCACTGTATCTGCTTTTGCTTATTATTATGCATCTCAGATACTTTTTACTGTTTTGCAGGCTCCATTTGGTCAACAGCCGTTGAGCTTTGACTATTCACAGAACTATTAGATGACATTTAGGGGAGACTATTCAATTGGGATGCAAAAGTTATGTTAGCTTTAAGAATTTCATGTTAGGTTCATTTGTCAGTGCTGTCATAGACCCTTGTAGTCTGTCTTATGTTTCAGTTTTGATGGCTATATTAAATCGTTTGGTACTTCTTATGTGACAGATTATAAAATAGTAAATTGTAGTGCATTACCGAATTTAAGATATATGATAAGGTTTCTATGGTGCTTTAAACTACTTCGTCTAATATTGGTGTTTACACAGATAGGTCCTCCCTGTTTCATGGCATTTTTTATTTAAAAATTGGGAAAATTAATTTTGATCCGTTGGGAAAATTTGGATGGTTATTTAAATTAGTCTTGATCATAACTTTTAAACTAAAACGTGTTATGGCAAGAGAAATTTATTATGAAGTTTTGTCAAATGGAGACTTTCAGCATGTGGGAATACTTTTCAACCAGTTGGAAAAAAATCTACTATTTGGAACTTGTTTGTTGAAGTATTTTGTCTTTTAGTAGTGTTTTAGTTTCTTTTTTTTTATATTTTTTCATAATTCCGTTTCTTTATATTTTTTTTATTACATTCTCCCAGGAGCTGTGGTATTCTATCTTGTTATTTCATTATTTTGTTGCGAAGTTTTTTGAATTACTGTTTAATATTTCGTTTTTTATTTTAACTAATGGACTGTGTTTTTAGTTCTCTAAAATTGAATCTCTATCGATGAAGATTTTCAAATTGTAAAAGAAAAAGGAAAATTCAAAGAAATATGCTTTAAATTAATGTTTTATTTTTAATTAATTTTAATGAGTAAAATCAAAGACACCCTGTAAAGATAAGGACAGCAGCTGGATTATGGTCATTATAAAAACCAATTTGGCAGATAAGACCAACGAACATTCTGGATCCACGTTACTAAAATATTTCATGAGATCCAATCCAACTCAATTATTTAATTTAATTTATATTTGAAAAAGTATTAACTTTAAACTGTATTTAGTTGTTGTAATTTTTCAAAGTTGAGCGAATGAATATTTCTAATATATAAATGATGGTGTAAGTAGTATATATAATAAATAAATATATGAATATATTACTTATAATTTAAATTGTGATATAATGTTTTTTCTTTTTACGATGGGTGCCTCTTCTACAAAGGAATCCTACCTATCATTAATGTGAATATATAAATTAGCATTATTTCACGTACATAATGTTATTTTTAATTATTAACAAATTTAAAACTTTAAATATTAATGTCGATATGGAAGCAATGAATAAGTAAGGATATGGGAAATAAGATTATTTAAGAATAAGTAAGGAGTAACCAAAAGAAGATTATTTTAGATTAAGAAAATTTGTTGGACTATATATGGGAAATGAGATTTTTATTTTTCAAATTATATGTTCTAATTTATTTATAATATAAAAGTAAATTGAAAAGAAAAATAAAGAACTGATAAAATATACTTGTAATTCTAATAATGGTGTAGATGCTACTTTGATCTACAAAGCAACAAAGTGATGTGTTATTCAAGGATTAAAGAAAATAAGATACATCTTATTTTAATAAAATTAAATTTGAGTTGTTAAATATATAAGGGATGTATATTCAAATTAATCTCAAATATAGATTTATATCAGAAACAATTAATTTTATCTTTTTTTTTTTGTTATAAAAGATTTAGTTTTAGTTCTCTGCATCTCTCATAGGTGATCATTTCTGAGTTTTTAAATAAAGTTTTTTTTTCTTTGATCGACAAATACTGATGCAAACCTTTTAATTTCATACACAATATTTCTCTTATTACGATTTTTATGGATAAATTAGATCTTAAAGTTATCAAAACCTTGTCTCTTAGATGAAATTTTGCATCTTTGAAGGTGGAGAGTGATGAGTTTGGGGAGGATGGGATGGGATGCTTGGGATTGATGTTGAATATCACTGTGGAAGTTTGTGTTGAAAAATGGAGATAAGACATATGCAACTGGGATCTCTAAGATGCGCATTAGCCTATACGGGAGGGGGGTCGGGAGATACAAAAAATTTACATCGGATCATGTATCAATACAACGTAAATTTACATAAGTTAGTTATTTCAACGTAAATTTATTTCGCTTACATTGACGTTAGAGTTTAATCAGATGTAAGTTAGTTATTCAAACTTAAATTTATATCTTTTATATTGACGTTAAAGTTTAATCAGACGTAAAAGACTCAAAATAACATACTTAAAAGATATTTTATGCACTAGTGCATCTAATACATTTGGGTATATAAATTATCTATCAGGATATGCATTAATTATAAGAATAATTAATTGGAAGAAATATTTCAATCACTATAACATTATTATCAATAATAAATGATTAAGATTTCTCAATCAAAATCATTAGCTTTTATGGTTTGTGTTAATCTTATGCAATATCATTCACATGTACAATAATGAAAGATTTGTTTGATCTTTCGAGGGGGATTTATTATGGAGAGACAATACTAATGAAATATGAGTCCAACTCACATAAGGTATTAACACCACCTTCAACCCAAAACATTAAGACATTGAGTCATAAATCTTTCTTCCTTATATGTTGTTTAACTTCCTCATTCTTACTCAATGTGGAACTTAAACTCACGCTTATATTTTCCAACAATCTCCCCCTCAAGTGAGAGTCTCTTTACATTGGTACATCTCCCTTGAGTTCACTAATGAACCTTAGTTGTACCACTATTCATCATAACGGGACACGCTTACCTGACACACTATCAAGAAGACTTTTGATACATGGGTCACTTGTTAGAGACAACATCAATGAGACATGAACCTAACTCACATAAGAGATTGACATCACCTTCAACAAAAAACCTTAAGGCATTGAGTTATGGGTCTTTCTTTCTTATATGTTGTTTAACTTTCTTATTCTTACTCTTCAAATGACTTTACCTTCAATATATTAAGTTCATCCATATTAGAACCAACAACTAACATGTTATCAAAATACAATAATAATATGATATAGGATGAATGAAATTTTTTCATATAACAACAAAGATGCATGACCCACTTCTTGTACCCTTTCCTACTCATAAAACGTTTAAAATTCAAGTACCATTGTCTTGATAATTGCTTCAATCCATACAAACTTTTAGTCAACTTGCAAACAATTCTCTTTCTTTACCACTTGGAAACCCTCTAGTTGCACCATGTAGATGTCCTCATCTAGGTCTCCATGTAATAATACTTTCTTAACATCTAATTGCTCTAGATGTAAATCTTATGCATCCACAATATTTAACACAAGTCTAATAGTAATCATTTTAACTATAGGAGAAAATATCTCATTATAGTCAACACCTTTTTTTGCTGAAAGACTTTTATCACTAATCTTGTCTTGTATTTCTTGTTGTCATTATGTTCTTCCTTGATCTCGAACACCCACTTGTTTTGCAATGCCCTCTTTCCTGTTAGTAGGTCTGTCAAACACCAAGTTTTATTTTTTTCAAGTGAGCTCATCTCCTCCTGCATGACTAACTCTACTGAGCTGCATAATCTATTTGTAATGCTTCATGATAAGACAAATGTTCTCCATCATCAGTCGATAAGTAATTTGTTGAAGGAGAAAATTTGTGAAGAAGCTTACTAACTCTATTGGATCTCCTTACTTTAACTACTAGGGTGACAAAAGAGGTTTCCTCAACAGTCCTATCTCTTGAGCTCCCACTTTTTCTTGTTAGGTCATATTCTGTAATATCCTCTAACACTATCTTTTCCTTCTCTGTTGGCTTCTTTTCATCTTCAAATTTTGTCTCAAGTTTGTCTTTGTACATTGCATTTTCATAATGTAACATCTCTACTTGCAATGATATTTTTGTTTTGATCATCCTAGAAGCGATATCTCATATCATCGACTTCATAGCCAATAAAAATGCATTTTCTTGCTTTCAGATCAAGCATGTCCTTGTCAACATCTTTAACACAAACATAAGAAATATAACTAAATACTTTCAAAAGAGAAAGACTTACATCCTTACCTTGTCATTCATTCTCAGGAATCTTGAACCCTATGGGAACTGAGGATCCTCAATTAATGAAGTATGTTGTTATGATCACTATTTCTACCTAGAATGTCTTCGTAACCCTGCATGAATTCTCATACTTTTTGCCCTCTCATTCATGGCCATGTTTATTCTTTCAACAATATCATTCTGTTAAGATGTCTCAGGAATAGTTTTAAGCATTCTAATTCCATTCTTAGCACAATAATCAACACATTTAGTATTACTATGTTCACCATCATTATCAGACTTTAAACATTCAATTTTTAACCCTGTCACATTCTCAACAATGGCTTTCCACTTCTTAAAGGTATTGAATACTTCCAATTTTTTACTTCAAAAATAAAACCATACATTTCTAATGGAATCATCAATAAAAGTGACATAATATCGTGATCTTCCCAATGATGAGACTAATGTTGGCTCATACACATATGTATGAACAAATTTCAACTTCTCTACCTTGGGCATCTTTCCTAACTTAGTAAAAGTAACTATCTTCTGCTTCTGTGGTTGAAAGTGCAACACTTTTCTAAAGTCGAGACATGCAACTAACTATTGTGCCAATATTCTTCCAAAATAACCTTATTTCTTCTAAAGCATAATACAATTTTAGAAGTACCTTTCAACTAAAGTAACAACCACTTGACAGTTTCGCAATGCGTTCTTCTTGGATTAGACATGAATTTACTAATAACTCTTACTGCATGAGCAATGTCTGATCTAGTGCATATCATTGCATACATTAAACTACTAACTTTCTTATATATTGTTTAACTTCCTAATTCTTACTTAATTTAAAATTTAGACTCATATTTAAATTTCCCAACATGATTATACATATATACGTGTAATGTGGTGATTGGACCTATCCATCTTGACCTTTTGACCATTTCCCTCACTGCCACTCTTTAGTTATTCCGCACATTGTCATGTAAAAGCCTCA